TGATCATCACCAATGTAATACAAATTAATAAATAATATAAACAACAATATATATTAGTATAGTAAACTATTAAAGCTACGTACATATAATATTATACAAACTATAGATTGCATATATATATTACTGACCTGGGTCAATTGATTAATTAAAAAACCCTGGTTGGCATTAACATAATTCTGGCCTGTCCTAACCCTAAAATTCTGCTAGAGATTGATTTGACCTGGGTCAACTTGACCTAAAATCTAACTTGACCCATAACATATATACATATATATATGAATATATATATGTTGCAATAATTATTTCACGGTTTATACCAACTAATATAAATACATATATATGTATGTATGTTGTAACAGATAATATAACCTAGCCATAGTTATGAAAACATGATTTAAACGCATAACTCAAGACTTGAAATTCAGATTGATTAACAAAGCAAAGGCATTTAATAATCTAATTCAGGTTTGGCTTGAGGTGATGCTTATTGAGAACAATAGAGATTTAGGTTATGAAAACCAGTGACCTCTGAATCTGCACTTTTATAATATATATAGATATGTTGTGCACCAAACTAATATCTGCGCCAGATTAAAATAACTTTATTTTCGCTAATATGTATCTACTCTTAACCTAATACAAGTTTTACCTAACCTTAATAAAACTCAGTATTGAACTAATTTGACCACACCCAAATATATGTACCAACAATAATCTAATGCTAACTTTAACCTAATAGCAATCCGTTTTTCTTAGTAAAATCATTTTTGATCTTGCAATAAGATCACATGATGTTTGAATTTTTAGACTAGTGACAAGTTTTATCCCAACCTTAATAAAACCTAGTATTGAATTAATTTGACCACAATATAATAGATATACTTAAACTACTGTCTAAAAATTCTACTAGCTAATCGAAATTTAAGATTAATATAGCATAAAAAAGTTCAAGAACTAAAACAATCTGTAATTCTAAATTGTTTTTAAGAAATCACCTATATACTTTTCAAAAGATGTTTTGAAAGATTATATATTAGTAGAGCTTCTATAACCCCAACCTACTAACAATAGTCCAAATCTAATAGCAAACCATTTTTTTAGCAAAATCGGTTTTGATCTTGCAATAAGATCACATGATATTTGAAATTTTTTAGTAGTCAAATTTATCATTAATTTTACAATTGTATTAAGCATTATAAGCAAAATAAGTATGCAAATTCTTTAATTAATTAGAATATTTTATGAACAAATATATTGATAATTATTACAATCAAGAAATTAAACTATGTAATGTAGTTTTATTTCATCATTAATTTTCTTTATTGACTAGATCAGCTTTATATTGAGTATATTCGTGAATATTATACCCTTTATCTAAACAATAGCTACATGTTCTTTGTTCATGATTAGATTTTTGCTTGGAACTTTCACTTTCTTCAACAAATGATTTCAATTGTTTTGGGGGATGACCTTTTGGCTTGTGATATTCTGGGTTAGTAGCTTCAGTAATATTATATCTTGAACTTGAATCAATTAAAAGTTGCTAATTATTAGGTCCAATATTAATAGTAGAGATATTTGTTTCAATATTAGCATTTTTATTTTGTATATTGCGAATTTCTTGGATGCTCAGACCAGCATTGCGATGGTATTTTGTTATAAATTGAGTTAAAATCCTGATTAATTCTGTAGTGACATCTTCAGCTACTGCGATTTAAACACTGGTCTTTGCTATTGACATTGTGTTACCAAATTGAATCTTCTTATCAACACTTTTTTTAATAGTTGGTGTATATATATTAGCTAATCGAATTTGATTAATATTTTATAATGGTGCAGGTGTAAAATTCTTGGTTTCTTGAGATAACGTGATATATTTGTTTATTTCAAATAGAATTGATTTAAACCATTGGGTATGAATAAGACCTAAATAAAAAACTGCTATTGATGATTGAATAAAAACTTGATATTGATGATGGTATAACATTTCTAAGTTTATTATTTGCATATATATACAAAGTAATGATGAATCTTTAAGAACTACAACATAATGTGATTTGGATGTCAAAGTCCTTGCAATATAAAAACTTCCTAAATTTTCAGTACTTCATCATTTGTATATCTAATAAGAGCTCTTGTAGTCGAATTTGAAGTACATCATAGAGATGTTCAATCATACTATCGGCTTCAATATCGGGTTCTTTAATCTATTCATAAACTTAATATTATTAGTATTCATTCAATAGATATATGTTACAAAGCTAAAACATGCAAATTTTATAAATAAAATTTGCATGTTTTGGCTTTGCAATATACAAATACAAATTAGATACGTGTCTGTTCGATCGTAACCAATATTTCTTGGTATAATAATGATTAATTCATCTAGGCCCTTTGAAGTGAAAGTGGAATAGGTGTCAAATGATCTGCTAAAACCAAATCAATAGCTTTAAAAATAGTATTATAAACAGATAGAAGTCCAGATGATGAATTAGATCCATAGTAGTCTCTAACATGATTATAGCTGGCTTCTTTTTCTAATTCTTGCTTAATAATCTTTACCAGTTCCTTTAATAAAGTACCTCGATCAAGGTATTTTTTTAACACACCATTTATTAATTCCACCCTCTGTGTTGATTCAGCACTAGCTGTGAATACTTTTAAAATTGCATATCGGGTCCAAGACTTACAACATGGGTAAAGTTTTGCTTCAAGATAGGAGCAGCAGGATTCATACTTCTCAAGCATGTGCTGGTACTTTAATTCAAATTGTTCTTGAGTACAACTATTTCTTATGTGAAAAAAATCTTTAATAAAATTTTTAATCACATCGCCACACAGTTTCAATTTAGCTTTTGTTTTAATATTTTTCTCAATGTAATAGATATATAATAAATGTTTTGTTTGGGGGTAGACAACCTGAACAGCCACGATCATTGCGAGGTCTCCATCAGTAAACAAAACTACTAGAAAAAAATTATTGGTTGCTTCCAATATATATCGTAAGATTCAATCACAATTAGCTTGGGTTTCATACTTCATCAGAGCTTGAGCAAGGATCTGTAACTTAAAGTTATCATTAATTCCAACAAATAAACTAAGCACCATTTCATACTGGTTCGTTTTGGCCGTATTGTTATGGATAATAACATCATGAAACTTAGGCCAAAGTTGGTTTCTTTGCTCGCTACTCATCCAGAATAAACCTGTTAATTCATTAGATTTACCTTCTATATGCGGAACAACCACATATTTCTGATCTTGTTCTTTCAAATTAAGGAAGTATAACAATATTGTAGAAGTATCAAATTCATCATGAATTTTTACACCCCAAAATCTACCAATAGCATTATAGAGGTTCTTTTTTTTTATTTGATATTGCGGAAATTCCTTTGTAATAAGATCAAATTGTTGCCCAGCGCTCAGCCGGCCAACAGTGGTATAATTCTCAATTTTGTTTAAAATGGTTTGTGAGATTTTAAATGTTTTGGAGCTAGTTTTATAGTCTCCAGATCACATATATGGTTGTGCTTATTTTCTATGCTTGTAATATTTATAACATTTGCACGTTTACTACAATAGAAGCGAGCTAGCCATTAATAATCAGTTTTATCAGAAACACTATCACGATATTCATCAAGATTCTCTACTTTTTTTAATTTGTTTTTACCAGACTTCCAACAGACATAATCATGGTGCTGAATAATAGATCTATCAGTTGGGTCAAGATCTTTGCAAAACTTAATAGCACAAAACCATTTTGCTTTGCATATACATCAACTATACGGTTCATCTATAGTATAACGTGTACTAATACACTCGATGATCACATCAAATATCACATTATAAATAAGGTTATA